CAGCGTCGACGGCACCGTCCCGCGAAAGACGGCGGGAGGGCGCGATGCGGTGAGGGTCAAGGACAAGGCGGACCGGGCGACTGTCGAGGGCGTGCTGGATCCGCGGACCATGGTCATCCTGTACAAGATGGTCAACCGCGGGCTGCTCGAGAGCGTCAACGGGTGCGTGTCGACGGGCAAGGAAGCCAACGTCTACCACGCCACGACGTCTCCCATCGGCGACGACGGGGTCAAGGGCAGCCTGGCGCTTAAGATCTACAAGACGTCGATCCTCGTCTTCAAGGACCGCGACCGCTACGTCTCGGGCGAGTTTCGCTTCCGCCACGGCTACTCGCGGCACAACCCGCGCAAGATGGTGCGGCTGTGGGCGGAAAAGGAGGCGCGCAACCTGAAGCGCATGGTGCAGGCGGGGATGCGCTCGCCCAAGCCCGTCGAGCTGCGCGACCACGTGCTGGTCATGGAGTTCCTCGGCGACCAGGACGGCTGGGCCAGCCCGCGCCTCAAGGACGCCGACGACATGATTGGCCACGACGCCGACACCTGGTCGCGCCTCTACCGCGAGCTGGTGGCCGCCATGCGCTCCATGTACCAGGAGTGCCGCCTGGTCCACGCCGACCTGAGCGAGTACAACATCCTCTACCACCTTGGCCACCTCTGGATCATCGACGTCTCGCAGTCGGTCGAGCACGACCACCCGCGCGCATTCGACTTCCTCCGCGCCGACATCACCCACGTCGACCAGTACTTTGCCAAGCGCGGCGTGCCCACCCTCGGCCTGCGGCGCACGTTCGAGTTCATCATCCGCGAGCCCGACAACCCGTCCAAGCGGCGCGGCGGAAGGGTCGGCCTCGAAAAGACCGAGGCCGACTTTGACCACGAGACGCGCAGCGTCGCCGCCTCCACCGCCACCGACATGCCCGAAGCGGTGAGCGGAAACTGGATGGAGGGCTTCAAGGACGGCGCCGCGGGCGAGTACGTCCGGGCCCGCGGCGAGACCGAGGAGGAGCTCATGGACCTGCTGGCGCAGATCATGGCGTCGTCGACGGCCGAGGAGCCCGAGCCCGAGCCGGCAGAGGCGCAGGCAGCGGCGACGGGGTCGCAGCCGGCAGTAGCAGCGGCGCAGAGGGCCGCCGGCGACGCAGGCGAGGCGGGAGCGGCCGCAGCGCCGGCCCTTGCATCCACACCGCAGCAGCAGGGCGGCGACAAGTCGGACGAGACCGTCTTCCAGACCGCCTACATCCCTCGCACGCTCAACGAGGTCTACGACCCCGAGCGCGACGTCGAGGTGATCCGCAAGGGGGGCATCTCGAGCCTCATCTACGCCGGCGTCACGGGCATGGACGTGGCCGCCGTGCCCACTCCGTCTGCCTCGGACCCCGCTCCCGCCGCCGACGCCGGTGCCGCGGCAGGGGACGGGAAAGACGCGGCGGGCGGATCTGGTTCGTCGGATGAGGACGACGATGACGATGATGACGAGGAGGACGGAAGCGAAGATGGCGAGGGCAAGGTTGACGGTGACGGCGACGGAGAGGACAAAGCAGAGGGCGACGGATGGGTCGAGCGGAAACCGAGAGGGCATCGACACGAGGACCGCGATGCGAAAAAGGTGCGTGATCTGCCCCCTGGACCTTGCTCAATTCGCCCCCTGCAGACGATGGCGACGTCGGCCATGCTCACCACCTGTTCACGCCCCTTCCCCCTCTGCCCCTGCGGCGGCGTGCGTCGATCGACAGGAGCGCAAAAAGGAAGTCAAGGCAGAGGCGCGGGAGCGTCGCAAGACCAAGATGCCCAAGTCGGAAAAGAAGAGGAGGATGAAGAAGGGCTCGCACAAGTGAGCGCTCACCTCTTCCGACCTCGCGGGCGGGTTGACGGATTGCAGGCGCAGGGGTATCATTGTTCGAATACATGGGTGCCATCTAGACGCGAGGTGAATGCGCTCCCTCTGCCACGAATCGACAGCGGCTCGGACCGGACGGCGCCGCGGTGGTGCCATCATCACTGCTGCTGGCGGTGTGGATCGTCGACGGAGTCGTGCTGCGGCGGAAGCGGAGGATACAGGCCGAAGTGGCCGACCGGGTACTGCAGGGGCGCTGCCGGCGGTGCAGCGTACGCGTATGCGTTTGCCTCGGTGCCCGGCCACGTCGAGCCGCCAGGTTGTTGTTGCCAGGTCGTCGCCGACGGAGGGGGCAGCTGGGGTACGGCCTGCGGTGTGGCCGGGTAGCCGTGCGGGAACGACCCGTGTGGGAACGACCCAGGCACCGGCGGCACCGCCTGCTGGTGCTGCTGGTGCAGCTGCTGCATCGCCATCTGCTGTTTGTAGAACTGCATCGCATCGGCCTCGACGGGCAGCATTTCGGCCTGCCTCGGCTCGTGCGACGGACCCGTTGCCGCTGGCAGCTCGAACGAGGAGAAGGCGCCGGGCAGCGGGTGGGCCGCCTGGCGCATCTCGGTGCTACCGTCCTGCCCGACAAGGCCCAGGCTGGAACGACGCTGCTGCTGGTGCAGTCCCTCGGCAAACGACTGACGATCACCGTCGTCGGCCGCAGAGTTGGCCGTCACGTACGTGGGCGTGCGCTCGGTCCCGCCCCGCGACGGATGCGACGGCGACGTCGATGGAAACGAGTGGTGCATGGCGTCGACGAGCGTCACGGGCGTCGTCTGGATGCCGTCGGCCTTGGGCGTCACGCTGCCGATGCGCGAAGTCGTCGGAGCCGCATCGACTTGCGAAGAAGGGCCGCGCGTCGGCGGGGCGGTCGGGGCAGGGGGCGTCGATTCCGAGACCTGCTCGGCTTTGATCTCAGCCGTTGGCCGGAACTGCGCACTGGCCGCCTCGGTCGGAGATGGCAGGGCAAGGCTGCTGTCCGATGAAGGCGCTCCCTCTGCCTTGGCCTCGTGGGTGTTGTCGGTGGAGCGAGCAGGGCCGCTCCCGGTGGCAACAGCGGCTGCCGCTGCCGCGAG